ACCCATGGCCACTGCAGCAAGAACATAAAACGTGTAACAATAAAACATTTGCACCATATATGTTTGTTGTATACAGTAGGGCAATGCAGAAATAACACATACAACAGCGTATCTATATATAATATACAATTTATATCAACAACTTGCATGAAAAATAAAATAAAAAGTACTCCAATATTCCAAACAAATGCGAAATATAGCAGATGAGACAAACAGAACAAAGTGAGAAACAACTAATTATAAAGCATATACAAGGATGAGTTCACGTCCATTACATTTGCATGCTGGGTAAACAGCAGCCCATGTTTATGTAAACAAAGTATTCAGATGCAGTGCAAATGTAGACTTCTTACACATTTCACATTGTCACAGTGGACATGTCTTTGCCATTAAGTCCATATTTGAGGGACATACTGTATTTACAGCACTACAAGGACTAGACAATGTCATTTCTGGCTGGCTGCTGAACGCTGACCTTTATTGCTTGATGAACAGCTGGGAGCTACTGTGAACTGCATTACTGGCTTAACTTTGTATGAAGGAGCAGCTGAAGGAGTATAAAGAGTTGAAATAGTAGGGAAGGGATAAAGGGAGCAAAATCTTTGTTGTGAGAGAAAGGGGACAGTGCTGAACGTCCATAAAATATGCATTTGTGGTGTCAAAAATGTGGTGAATACAGCAAGTTAAGAACGTCCCTGTTTCTTCTTTCCTCCAGCAAATTCTGGTCTCAGTTAACATTAAAGTCAATGGGACAGTTGGATGGTACTCACTTTGAGTACTAAAAAAAATATCTAAGTCTTAGGTATTCACATTGTTAGAAAGAGCATAAATTGTTCTTGCTGCAATGACAGAAAAATGATGTATGAAGAGTGGAAATTGTGGGAGTAAGAGGAAATTGAAGATACATCTTAAGAAGAGTTTAATGGCTTGAACGAACTCTGCAACTCTGACTCACTCACTCTCTGAACATTATGTCCATTCATTTAAATGGGGGAAGAAATTTGGGAAAGTTTAAAAGATACATACACTAGTAATTCTGATAATGTCCTCAATGAGCTGAACATATTTAAGTTTGAATGAAGTTTCTCAATGAGGTAATTAGGTGCCAGCTTTATGTTGATGTATGAGTTCCAGCTCTGATGTGAAATATTTACCTTGATAGATGATCTCTGCCGGTTGCTGTAAGACCGTGCTGTAGTTTCCAAAGTCATCCTCTGTGAGCACTCCGCCTCTTGTTTGCACCTATTAAACATTCACAGGAGTTCAAATTTAAAGCTGGTGAGTGTTCTTTGTCCTGTGCACTGTGCCATCATAGACAGGTAAAATGTAAAAAAATGTTTGACCCTCAATGAATATTTGAATTCTACTAGATTACCTACTAAAATGTATTCATAGACAAATAGTGCCCAATGTGAGTTGGTTTGACGTGGTGTTAGATACTGATTAAGTTGTGTGTGTTGTGTAAATTATTTGATGAGGAGGAATTGCAGGGTTCAAGGTTCATGTAAAATAAATGGGTCCTTAGTGGAATTAAGTCCAATTTCAATGAAACAGCCCAGCAATTAATGACCTCCTTCATAAAGATTATACCCAAACCTTGTCCAATTATTGTAATGTCTGTAAATGGTTCTATAGTTTTTTTGTTTTTCCTTTCCCTTTTTTTTTAAAATATCATATTTGATTACCATATTGTTTATACTGTATTTGTGTTTTGTCACAAAATATTAACAGATGGCAGCGATACTCAGCAGTAGCAGAAGGTACATTAACTCTCAGAGGAGACAAAACAACATAC